TTTTTTTGCTAATCAACTCTCCTTAGTGTTTATGCATGTAATCTGTGGCCCAAGACTACGCTTCTTCCAATGTGCAGCAGAGAAGAAAAAAGTTTGGACACCCCTGTGTGTAAGCATCCTACACACTGCAAATATTTGATGAAAAAATGGCAGGAGCCAAATATACCCAGCAAAAACTGTAGGTCAAAAAAGTGGCAAAATCACAAAAGAGCTAGATCTGGAAGAAAACATTCATGAAGTCCATGGATTTTAGAGTTTAGATCCCTGTTTCATTTTGAGATGTGCAGGATCAGTTCTAGAACCCACCATACATGCCGCTATTTCCAGTAACTAATCCAAAATTAAACTGTATCCTGGGATGTAGAGGTTTCATCCTGGTAAAAAATCCTACATTATTTACCAGATATAGAACAATACAGATTTCTCATCAGCTTACCCAGGTCTCTTCTGACCCCCATTTCCTTAGTATGCTTACAAGAAATTCTGAGTTTCTCTTATTAGTATATAAGCTCTCCGGCTTCGCCTGTGTGGATTCATCTTCTTTCTCACTCAGGATATTTTTCTGCTTTCCCATGCCCTGCATCATTCTTTCATCTCCAGGGGCTGATCCATCCATTTCCTGTGGGGGAGATGCTTGGTCCAAATATGTGTAATTATGAAGTTTCCCTTGGGATCTGGGGGGATTGGGGGGATAGTTCTTGGTGCCTGGTGTGCACAGTTTGTGTCTCAGAAGATTCATAGAAAACAATTAACTGAGCGTTTGTCAGAAAATACTGGCACGCGCACATGTCTTTTAGCTCCCATGAGATTGGCCTTCTGCTTTGCTAACCTCAGGATACTGGCGAGCCAGATGGAAAGACTGCCAAGCACATCCAGCTCATGTAGCCAGAAGGCCACTCCACTTGAGTATCTGGAAATCATTCTTTCGTTTGCTGGGGAGGTTCTGGGCCTCTTTATTTCCTCAGAAGCGAGGCCCACCCAAATGATTTCAAGAGCACATTGCAGCACAGTCTCCACAAACGGACAAGCTGTGAAAGTTGGAAATCTGGCGTTCCTCTCCTCCCCCACCGAATGCAGTACATTCTTGTTCCAGCCACATACACTTATGGCCTCCCAAGACTTTTCTCATGAAAAGCCCTAGAACCCAGTGTCGAGTTAAGTTAAGATGAGTGATTAGGGAACTCTGCAGCTACTGAGAATGAGATTCCCAGTTGAGTATCAGCCGCAACCACAAGAGGTGAGGGTTTGCCTCTTTTCCATCTGTTGTCAGGAATAAGGGAGAAGCAGAAGGTTCTGCTTTGCCTCTCAGATTCTCAGCTCCATTTCTCTCTATTGCACTGGGTGAGGGTGGAAGCTTCCTTTGCACCTCTCTTTCCTCAGTGGCATGGTACTGGGCTGGCCCCATTCAGAAGGGAAACTGAAAGGAAATCTCCTAAGTGTGGCTTAGGGGCCAAGGT